AAACCATTTGGTCCGGCCCTGCCGAGGCGTGAGGGGTGAGTTAATTAAACGTTGGACCAAATGCAGCAGCCTAACGTTTAAGTGGGTCATTTTGTATGGCCGCCGAATGATGTGATAAATATCCGAATGGCCCGCGGCAGACACGGGCTCCCACCCCGGCAGTGAAAGTGACCTCCTGTGGCCTAGATCCCAGGCAGCCGCTCCCCCGAGAGAGGTGAGCATCCCTCAGCTGGCGGGGCAGCTCCCCAGTCCGCAGGAGCCAGTCCCGCCACCCTCGACCCTGGGCCCTGGGCTCTGTTACAAAACTGTTGGCCTGGGCGACGCTGACTCCCTCGTGGGGCTTTGGTTGGGGGCACCCAGTGGGTTCACTGTCTATTTGAGCTTGAGTGCGTTGTGAGCGTATTTGACGGGACCTTAAATGAGTTTGCCAGGTGCCCACCTGGGTCTCGGCCCTCCCTGGGCCTTGGAGCCCGCAGCCCCTGCCTGAGACCCGCAGCTCCCGGACTTGGAAAGGCTTCGTGGCCTGAAGGCACTGGCTTTCCTGTCCTCCCCGCTCGCCTCCGCGGGTATCCCCTCTCCGTGGACAGTAGGTCCCAGAAACCCTCCTCCGTAGGAGGGCCCCACAGACCCCCGAGCCCCTCATAGTTTTAATTTTAGGTCCTTTTCTACTTGGCTTTCCTCTGAATTGCCACCACTTCCCACCTGCCCACCCCCCAACCTCTTAGCCTGTGCATCCCCCAACCCCAAGCTGGGTGGGGCCCCGGTAATTTAAAAAAACAACAACAACTAAATTTACTATTTCAGCTCTTGTTCCTGGCCTGACCCCTGAGTTCCGTTCTGCCTCAGGGAGACCCCTCCCAGCATGCATCCCACTCAGCTCCCAGGCCCCCGGTGACTCCTTTGTCACCACGACGTCCCACACGCCCTGTCCCAGTCCGTGCACAGCTGGATGCCTGTGCCTTGTTTACTTTATTTGGAAATGGCTTAAACCTTATGAAAAGGCACAGAAATAGTGAAAACAGTACAAAGTTCACACAGATGTCCTCACCCAGACCCACCTGTTAACATGTTCTCTCACACACACACACACACACACACACACCTGGGGGTGTGCGAAGCCCACATTGCTCCTGTCGGTGAATCTTTTGTTACCCAGCGTTGCCCAATTTCTCCCCCATATAGTTACTGCTTCCCCCCTGAACTAACAACTGATCTATGGGGAGACCTTGAAGATAATGCAGGTACCCAGTTTCTCATCAGTGTCCGCCCCAGGTCCAGCCTCCACTCATTCCTGCCTGAACCAGTCTTTAGCACCGAAGGCTGAAGGGTGTGAAGGGTGTCGATTACCCAGTGCCAGCTCTCCCTCCGTGTTCACGCTCAGCCCTGGGCACGCCTTCCTGCCCATTTGTTTATCATCAGACGCACTCGTGGGCTCCTGTTTTCTCAATGGTGTATAACTCACTGCTGTCCTTACTGGTTTCGGTGCTCGAGTTGTGCCAGATGAGCTCACGAGTCTTACAGGAATCCTGCACCCTGTGGCATACCTCCGCCACTTTTGGAACAGTCAATTTTTTTTACAGTATAGGATGTTCCAAGCTTACCTTTCTACTTGCTTCAGCTCTGAAATCAGCCATTTCTCCAGTTTCAAATAACTCCTTCCCTTTAGTAGGGGGCGGTTTTGGGCCCAAATCTATGTGCTCCTTGCTACTAGCCTTGTCTTCTGCTGAGTTAGAAATACAGGCACATCTGTGAGCACCTATCAGTACACAAATAAAGGTGTGTGTATGTGCGAACAAATACAATGCCAGTCTATACTTTTTTATAACTGCATATTTCACAACTACATTTTCACTTCCCCCATATTTTTATGTCCCTATAATGAGAACTCTGGTACCCACACAATTAAAAGAATGCTGGATGCTAAAGTACCTCTAAAATAGTTTCAGGCCCTGACCATTTTTTGCTCAGTGGATAGAGCGTCGGCCTGCGGACTGAAGGATCCCAGGTTCGATTCCAGTCAAGGGCATGTTGCAGCCTTGGGTTGCAGACACATACCCAGTGGGGGTTGTGCAGGAGGCAGCTGATCGATGTTTCTCTCTCATCGATTTTCTAGCTTTCTATCATTCTCCCCTCCTCTCTGTAAGAAATCAATAAAATATATTTTGAAAAAAAAAGTTTCAGAATTGCTTTCTCGAATCACTCCTAACCTACTGAAAAGGATTGATTTATTGCAAAATAATGCAGATAATTTAATTCTGTTTAAAATGCACTGATACTTCACATGGGATTCAAATCTGTGAGACTGGTTGCCATGTATCTTTTTTTTTTAAGAGATAAAATCTGATTTTATTTTTAAAATATTGGTATCATTTTGTCTTGTAAAGGTGGGGCAAAGCACCCTAGGTTTGTTCTGAAGGGGCAAGACACGGTGCACAGATGCAATTAGGGAAGTCAAGGAGAATTGGTAACATCATCACTAGCATTCAGAGCCTGATCGTTCCCACTTGGGACAAATATTTCAGGGGAAACTCAAACATTAGCTGTGTTCTTGGACCAGGTAAGTGATTTATACACAGACCAGAAAACTTTGTGGTGAGACAGCAGAGTATGCACTTGCGTGTGTTTATATCCGTCAATTGACACCACTCATAAACACTCCCCAACCCAAAGAATAGAATGTGAATTAATGATCAAGTCTCACTGCCCTTGGTTCTTACATATGAAAGGCACTTGTTGGGTTTTCACCAGTTAAAACCTTGTGAATCTGTGGACATAAGTCACGTCCAAACTCACGACATTTTCCCACTTCTCTCTTCTGTCATGTTAGTGGGCACTCATGACTGAAGGTCCTCCACGTTGGGCATCTCCACATTTCCCTACTGTTAGGATGACCTGAGGAGTGTACTGTGTGTGAAGGCCTGTGTATGTCCCATTGCTCATCAGAATAAACGGGCTCAATTAGGAAGGGATGAACTATGGCTTAAGCCACGGGCCCAGCTCCTGCAGGTGCCTCTACCCAGTATGAGTTCTCTGGTGCTTGGTCAGGGAGGAGCTGTGTGTGAAGGCCTTCCCACAGTCCCTGCACTCGTATGGCTTTTCCCCGGTGTGTGTCCTCTCGTGCTGGCTGAGGGATGAGCTGTGACTGAAGGACTGCCCACATTCGTTGCACGTGTAGGGTTTTTCTTTGGTGTGGGTCCTCTGGTGTTCTGTGAGGAGGGAGCTCTGACTGAAGGCTCTGCCACACCCATCACACTCATAGGGCTTCTCCCCGGTGTGGGTCCGCTGGTGCTGGGTTAGAGATGAGCTGTGGGTGAAGGCCCTGCCACAGTCACTGCACTCATAGGGCTTCTCCCCGGTGTGGATCCTCTGATGTTGACTGAGGTGTGTGCTCTGCCGGAAGGCCTTGCCACACTGACTGCACTCGTAGGGCTTCTCTCCCGTGTGTGTCCGCTCGTGCTGGCTGAGTGACGAGCTGTGGCTGAAAGTTTTCCCACACTCGTTGCACCCGTAGGGCTTCTCCCCTGTGTGGATCCTGCGATGCTCAGTCAGGAGTGTGCTCTGGCTGAAGGCTTTTCCACACTCGTTGCACTCATAGGGCTTCTCGCCCGTATGCGTCCTCTGATGCTGAATCAGTGGTGTCCTCTGGGTGAAGGCTTTCCCGCACTCATGACACGCGTAGGGCTTCTCTCCAGTGTGGATTCTCTGGTGCTTCGTCAAGGACGAGCTGTGACCGAAGGCCTTGCCGCACTCAGGACACGCGTAAGGCTTCTCCCCGGTGTGGGTCCGCAGGTGCTGGGCGAGGTGGATACTTTGCCGGAAGGCCTTCCCACACTCACTGCACTCGAAAGGCTTCTCGCCCGTGTGGGTCCGTGCGTGTTGGCTGAAGGAGGACCGAAAGCTAAAGGACTTGCCACATTCGCTGCACTCGTAGGGCTTCTCGCCCGTGTGAGTTCTCTGGTGCTGGATCAGTGGGGGAGTTTGGTTAAAGGTCCTCCCACAGTGCGCGCACCTATAGGGTCTCCCGCCAGTGTGGATTCTCTGGTGTTTGGCGAGTGCCGAGCTGTTCCGGAAGCCTTTCCCGCATTCCTGACATTCGTACGGTCTCTCTCCCGTGTGCGTCCGCTGGTGTTCAGTGAGTGCAGAGCTGCGAGCAAACGCCTTTCCACATTCCAGACACCTGTAGGCTTTCTCTTTTGCGGAGGTTTTCTGTTGCGCGTTCGGTTTTGAGCATGGATTCTCCTTTTTTCTGTGCATTCTCCGTGCATGAGAGTCTTGTCTTTCAGGAGTCACGGGTCGACTTGGGAGCTCAGGGCTCAGAGTTAAGTTTTCCCCAAACCCATTCCCAGGCTGCTGCTGCTGAACAGATGGCTTCACAGGTGTGCAGGCCGCCTGCTCCCCACGGCCATCCAGGCTCTCACAGCTCTGTTCCCGGTGCCCCGCGGCGTCTTCACCCTGAGCGCTCCACAGACCGTCCCACAGGAACCCTTCTACCAGGACAAGGCTGGATAGTTCCTCAGAGGCGTCTTGCTTTGCAGCTGACAGTTTGGTTTTCAATTTCGTTTCCAAGTCTGAAAAAAAAAATAAATAAAAAGGAATCGTCCCTCAATCGCTGTTCTGGGAGGAAAAGTTTATTGGTGAATATGTGAATGGAAGAATTAAACCGACATTTTCTGAAAGTTCAAGGCACGAGTGGCTTTGACCATTTAGCCATATGGTTTTGCAAAGCAGAGAAGGAAGAGAATGTTCAGAGAACAGAAAGCTGAGTGAGTATAATGGGTACAGATGGAGTTTGCACAGAGAATTTTGGAGGAAGTCGGTGCTGAAAAAAAAGAGTGAGCCTTCAGGGAAAATGCAGCAGACACCCAGGCTTGGAAGGAGCGGGATAACAGTCAGGTACAGGCTCACAGCCTGTACTCAGCAGATGGTGGGAGAGTAAGGGTGGGAAAGGTGCGGCCTTTAGGCTGTGAAAGGCCCGCTAAATCATTTGGTCTGGCCCTGCCAAGGCAGCAGATGATGGGAGAGTAAGGGTGGGAAAGGTGCGAAAGGCCCGCTAAATCATTTGGTCTGGCCCTGCCAAGGCACTGGGGGGAGAGTTAATTAACTGTTTGGCCAAATATAGCAGCTAAATTTTAAGTTGGTAATTTTATATGCCCTGCGAATGATGTTATAAATATCCAAATGGCCCTTGAAGGGGGAGAGTTAATGAACTGTTTGGCCAAATATAGCAGCTAAATTTTAAGCTGGTAATTTTTTATATGCCCTGCGAATGATGTTATAAATAGCCAAATGGCCCTTGACATAAAAAAGGTTCTCCAACCCTCAGCCCTCCCGTTTCTCAGAGCCCGTCTCGTCCTGGAGGTCCCTCGCCGTTGTGCCACTCACTCCAGATGTGAAGAAACCCATGAGGTCCCCACAGTGGGAACTGCTGACATGTCCGTCAACAAGAGGATTGACAAATGGCTGTGGTGCATTACAGCCCTTTGAGCTGGTTCGGTCTGTCTGTTTCCCTAAGTGAGAAGACCCCTCGGGCAGGATCTTACCACTGCACCCCCAACAACAACAGGGGTCCACATACATGCTGAACGAAAAATACAAGCGGTGTCTCCCCCTCCTTCGTGGCAGGGTGGCAGGCACCCAGCCTCCACACGACACTGAGCTGGTGAGAAGGTGTGACTTGGCACATTTCCCACGTGTGCTGCTCTACTGAAAAGTCAGGGGGACATTCTAGTCGAGTGCAACTGGCTGAACAGTGTCTCCCAAGATGCCCACGTCCTCAGCCCTGCAGCCTGAGTGTGCTGTCACCTATCTGTGGACAAGGAATGAAGGGTGCTAATCTTTGACATTAGCCCGTCACCTGACATCACCCTGGATTGTTGGGGTGGCCCTGTGTAACCACAGGTTCTTACATGTGCGAGAGAGGCAGGAGGTTAGGGCCAGGGGGACGTGATGCGTGAAGACCGGACCCGCCTCTGCTGACACTGAGATGGACAAGGCCACGCGCCCAGGAATGTGCACCTCTAGATGCTGGACATGAGAGGCCATGGAGCCTCCCGACCCTCGGGAAGGAACGCTGGCTGCTGACCCCTCGCACGTCGCCGGTCAGACCCCTCTGGGCTTGTGACCTCTAGAACTGCAAGGTCATTTGTGTTGCTTCACATACTACATCTGTGGTCATTTGTTACAGCTGCAAGAGGAGGCTAACATACGAGGTGAAGGCTGGTTATTATTTGAGGCAGGGGAGACCCTGCTGTGACCCCCTCCCACACGTCCATCCTTCCTGGGCGCTGGCGATGGTCACTGCGTACACGGCGTCATGGCCGGACGCCAGTGGGAAGTTGGTTGTCGATGGGCCAGGACAACCCCACTTCCTACAGAGGGGCCTGCCTGTCTCAGGAGCTGGACAGCAGGTCTGAAGAGAAGAACCACCCAGCCAACCTCTACACATCTGGACGAGCCTGGCCTAGAGACACAAGTGCCTGAGTCGTAAACGAGTCTCTGGTTTAACGCCCGAGGCTGGAGTGTCTGATCCGCAGTAAGAGACCTGCACCACCCAGTGCCTCTGCACTTGCCGTTCCCTCCTCCTGGAATTCTGTGCTCATGGTCCAGCTCCACCTCCTTCGAGAGGGAAGCCCTCATCTCTCTGCTCACGTCCTCTCCCCGATTCTGTCCACCCCATCACCTGTCACATCTGCGATCTTCCCTTTCGCTGTTATTATTGTTTTCTAGCTATTTATCCTGTGCCCCTCTCCCTCAGCAATATGTATGTTCCGTGAAGACAGGAGCTAGGTCTCCTCATAGCGGAACGGTGCCTGGTGAATGTTCACTGAGAGAATGAGGAGTCAGTTTGCTCTGAAGGACCTGGGAGCAGATACGAAGAGAGAGATGTGGGGTGGGGGATGCGGGGGCTCCTCCCTGCCCTGCACGTCCTCACCTCACCTGGGCACACACCTTGTGGAACCTCCCGGTCCCCCAGCCACCGCCCGGCCTCCTGCTCCAGCAGCGAGATGAGGGTGGGTTTCAGGAGCCACGGTCCTGCTCAGGGGGAGACCCAGGACGTGAGCATTCGTGTCCCGGGCCCTTTCCCAACCCCCTGCCCACTCCGCCTTCACCCTTTCAGGACTCAAGTGGCTGGGAACCCAGACAGGCCCCAGTGACTTAGGTAATAACAGCTTCTAGTTGCCTCCACTCACTCTCAGCCCTAACCCCACCTCTGGCTCTGGGGTGGACACGTGACCCAGATCTGGGCACCCACTGTCCACTGGCAACAATGACCGATAGGGAGGGGACCTGGCGGCTGAAACAAGACAGCCCACAGGCCTTCCCTGGGCCCCTTGGACTCTGGCAACTGTCTTGTCACCGTCAGAGGGCCCACGTGTGAATCGTGACTCAGAGAGGTGCAGAGGGAGAGGGGGCAACACGGGAAGACTGCACCTGGGGTTCTGCAGCTCTGGACCCAGTGTGCCCCTCTTACCCCGTGATTCCTGCCTCTGGCATTCTCAGGTGGGATCCGTCACTTGTAGGCAAAACATCCTCACTGACACCCTCTAAACCCAGGCAGTCTGGTCCCTCAGGCCCAAGGCACATGCGTTTTCTGCTTTTCATGCCAAGACCCACCCCCACTGTGAACCCAGGAGAAGTGGGGTCCATCCAGGGGAGGACGGTGAGGAACAGGGGGTGGCCTTACCCACAGAGACCAGGAGCCCCCAGGTCTCCAGCATCACCTTGCGGTGCAGGGTCCTCTGGGCGGGCGTCAGCCGCCCCCACTCCTCCTGCGTGAAGTCCACGGCCACGTCCTCAAAGGCCACCGGCTCCTGGAACGTCACACAGGAGCTTCCTCACCGGGGAAGCCGGACAAGGCCGAGCCGGGTTGTCAGGGGAGGGGTTCCCTCCAGTCGGAGGCCCGAGCGTGAGGGCGGTGGTGCACTCACCGGGAGCCCCTCGTCCAGGAGCCCAGCGTCCATTCCTTCCTCCTCCGGCCTCTCGCAGGAACAGCTGGCTGCTCTGCAGGCCGTTCTGGGGGGAGAGGAGGCGAGGCACTGAGCAGGTGTCCGTGGTGACCAGGAACCAAGGACCAGAACCCCCGCCTTCAGGTGGAAGGAGCTATGGTGCCAGAGCCTGGGGCCCAGGACCCAGGCCAAACCCAACAGCTGCGAACCTCAGCGTGGCATTTCCTGGGCCCCTGCGGGGAGCAGAGCTGTGCCGGGCACAGTTGATGAACGACGGCAAATTTACGCCCGCCCATTCCAAAGACGGGAAAACTGTGAGGGCCAGCGTGGGCAAGGGACTCGGCCCTGGTTACACGGATGACCTCCGGGGGGACGACTGTTTGTTACCGGGACAGGAAGCCAGACCGTTCTGGGTTCCCTGGGCACGGCTTGGGGTGCCTCAGTCTCCCTCTCCCCTACAGTGAGGGTGGTGACAGGACAAGCTGGACCCCGTCTGATTGGCCAGAATGAAGTCAGGCCCGAGGTCCGATGGGCTTCCCTCGTGTTCGTACCTGCCCTTGGCGGCCCTGACTGTGCGTCCGGATTCTGCCTCCTCCTGTTTGTTCTGTGTTGTCCTCACTGAGTGTTCAGGATGGGAGCTGGTTGGCTGTGATGTGTGCACGGCTTTTTAAAATCATCTCCCTGACAACCCCCACTCCATGCCCTGCCGGGGGCAGAGACTATGTTGGGTCTACGCAGACGCTCTCGGGCATGAGATGGGGCTTGGCATCTGGGACATCTAGATACGTGGTTGAACGCCCGGCTGGCGTGGCTCAGTGGCTGAGCATCGACCTAGGAACCTGAGCCCGGGTTGCGGGCTCCGTCCCCAGTGTGGGGCGTGCGGGAGGCAGCCATGAGTTATTCTCATCGTCGATGTTTTTATCCCTCTCTCTCTCTTCCTTCCTCTCTGAAATATATAAAAAATATATATATATTAAAGCCCTACCGGTGTGGCTCAGTGGTTAAGCATTGACCTATGAACCAAGAGGTCACGGTTCCACTGGGTCAGGGCACATGCCTGGTTACGGGCTCCATCCCCCGTGTGGGGCGTGCGGGAGGCAGCCATCAGTTATTCTCATCATTGATTTTTTTTCCTTCTTTTTTTTTCTTTTTTATCTTTTGTTAATTTTTTGTTTATTTTCATCATTGATATATATATACATATATAT